GCAGTCTGCAGGGTTCTCTCATTTCCCAAAACTTTTATCTCTCTTTCTATCCCCTGAAGACAGATTGAGAACAATCAAAATGGCATTAAAAAAAGTCAATGGCTAGCAGCAACTGTTTTTCCAAGGACATCTCTTTAATAATACTGTAAATGTCTATGGACATTCTCAATCACCCAGGTCTTTAAAAACATTTTTTTCCAAAAGCATTGCTATGTAAAATACTCAGGAAAATTTATCTAGTTCACCTTTATAGGATGTGAGTATATTTGCTAATATTCTTATTTTATAATGAGGAACTGAAACCAAAACAAAAACCAAATTGACCATATTTCCCAAATTACCAATAAGAACTTTTCTGGCTGCTGAGAAGCACTTATTCAATCTGCATGCACCCCTATAACTCACTTAATTTTAACTTGTACTTTATTTCTAAATTCAAAGAGCTTCCTTGCTTCACTTCCAAATATAGTGGCTTCTACAGACTGGAATATAGAATCTTATTCTAAGACAGGGGGCCTCAACCTTGGCAATTTTAAGACTTATGGACTTCAACTCAACTTTGCTGGCTGAGGAATTCTGGGAGTTGAAGTCCACAAGTCTTAAAGTTGCCAAGGTTGAGGACCCTTGTTCTAAGACATGCAAGCCATAGGCATATACCCCAATGACGCTGCAGACAGGACAAAATGGCGGGCGAAATGCAAAACTGTAGATCTTTCTGACTGCCCTATGTTCTTGATGCAAGCTAAGTACAATGAAACAGATTTAGGAAACAGTAATGAGGATATGCAGAGCATTAAAAACTTAGACTTATGAAGAGAGATTGCAGGGATGTAAAGTGTTTTGCCTTGAGATAATTAGACAGAAGTCCTGATGACATTCTCCAAGAACCTGAAAGGAAGTTACATAGAGTCATAGCTTAATTTGCATTATTCCAGAAAGTAGGGCATGGAATAATAGATCTGTGCTACTGCAAACATCCATCTGGGATGCTTACATTGGGTTTCCTATGCAGTGCAGAATTGGATTTGAACTCAAAATGGCCCTATACAGTTTTATGGCCTTTAGGATTTATTGTCAGGACATAATTCTGCAAAGAGGAATTAGACTAAGCAGATTCAGATCCAGATGAACTTAGTGCTCAGAGAGATATTGTGCATGGCAACCTCATCTTTTCAAGAGAAGACATTCACCTCTCTTGCTTATTTCCAATAGATGTAAAATCATCTTATTTATTTGAACATTTTATTTAGTAAACAGCCATTTTTAAACAGCAAAATAGGTATAAATAAGGGTCCAGCACTTAACATTTCTTTATTATATAAAAATTCAAACCCAGTCTTCAGCCACATATTAGATCTCCAAAGATCTGTAGGAACAGCTGACAAGTAAATTGGATGACAATGGATTCAGTAGACCATGTGGTTGGAGGCAGTAATTTTGTGGGATCCTATGCCAAGGAAGAACAGCTGTGCAATTTTTCTCCCTTGCTCTTCATGGTAAACAGTGAGCAGAAATGCAAAAATATGTTTCTGAACAAGATTATTTCTGATAAAGAGGAAAAAAAGATCAACCCAAAATGATTACAGGTTTGATTAGTTCCTCTACGTGGAAAGGATGTAGATTTTAGAAGCTTTTTAGTTTAGAAAATAAGAATAATACTGTAATAGGCAAAATGTTATTTGCACAGATGTGTGCAAATTGATGCAAAGTATGAAGTACAGTAACTAGATAGGATAATTTTTTTCTCTTTTTCTTATAGTGCTAGAATTGAGATATTATTCAAAGAGGCAATAGGAAATGCTAATTCATACAGTTCGTAAGCTAGAACTCTGAAAGAGAATTAGACATCACCCTGCCAACAAAAGTGCGTATAGTCAAGGCCATGGTTTTCCCAGTTGCAATGTATGGCTGTGAAAGTTGGACCATAAGAAAGGCTGAGCGCAAAAGAATTGAGGCCTTTGAACTATGTTGCTGGAGAAGACTCCTGCGAGTCCCTTGGACTGCAAGGCGTTCAAACCGGTCAGTCCTAGAAGAGATCAACCCCGACTGCTCTTTAGAAGGCCAGATCCTGAAGTTGAAACTCAAATACTTTGGCCACCTAATGAGAAGGAAGGACTCACTGAGAAGAGCCTAATGCTGGGAAAGATTGAGGGCAATAGAAGAAGGGGACGACAGAGAATGAGGTGGCTGGATGGAGTCACTGAAGCAGTGGGCTCCAGAAGATGATAGAGGACAGGAAGGCCTGGAGGAACGTTGTCCATGGGGTCGCAATGGGTTGGACATGACTTTGCAATTAACAACAACAACAACAACAACAACAGAGGAAGAAGAGCAGGAGGAGGAGAGCACAACCAAAAGCTACTCATCATGATGACTGCATTATTTCCATGCTTCAGTATATTAAATTGCCAGGAAGGAACAGCAGGAGAGAGCCTTGCCCCCACCTCCCAAACCTGCCTAGGATCTTCTCACAGTCATCTGGTTGGCTATGTGGGGAACAGAATGCTTGATTAGGTGCACCTCTGGCCTAAACCAACTGTAGGTTCCTTTTAAGTTCTCACTTTTTTTTTTCAATGGGGGCACTCACAGCATTCTTGAGCCAACAAACACTTGGCTCGAGAATGCTGCAATTTTCATTTTAGAAAATGCCTCCACCTCAAGAAGTTCCAACAAATTTAAATACGTTAAATCCAGCACCTGCAAGGCCAGCTCTGACCTCAAGCAAATCACCCTCATTGGCTTTACCTTCCAAGAGATTGTTCTGATAAGAAGTTGAATTTCAAGGGCCGGGTTTGTTTTTTAAACATGTGGTTTGATTTGGCAAGTAGCCACACATATATAATGGATAGATTCAGCTGTTTTGTGTACCTAATAGCTGCAATGGGGGCCTATCAGGAAATTTCTATGTAGGGAATTCAGACTTACATCCTGGGAACAGAGCCAAGCCAGATGGTCTTTCTTTTCCCTAGCTTAAGAGTTCATTGCTAACATGCCATCTTAAAAATCTTGAAAACACCCTCTCAGACTGTTTTCCTTCTGCCCATTTGTTCATTCTTCCATCCCCAGATTTGTCAGTTTGCAGTACCCAGATTGCATTTTATGGGATTCCAGATGCTGTGAGCAAGAGGAGAGCAAGGAAGCTGTGTTGCCATCACCTTAATGAAGGGCTTAAAAGATAGGGGGAGGGAGGGAGAAAGATGATCTATCTTACCTTTTCAGCTCCTCCTGCTGTTTTAAAATGCTACAAGAGAGCCATGATTTAGCTTAAACAGAGTAGGATTGGAAGCCTCCAAATAAATCAGAGGCTACAACTCTGCCCCGCCTGCATGCTTTTTCAGAAGCTTCTGACAGGTTGATATTGGAAACAGAATGTTATGCTGGATGGAACTGCTGGTCTGATCCAGAAAGATGTTTCTTATATTTGTATAGGATCTGGCCTTCAATACCACTGAAACACCTAAAGTGTTTTGTGGGCCATGCCACCCACCCAAACTTGGGTTCAGGAAAAAAAAAGAAAAGAAAATGAAAATATGCATTTAATTGACTGTGTGGTTAAAAGGGAATTGCTTGGCTCATATCAAAAGAAAATTGACTCTGATCTTATGTTTTTGCACATAACCTATCAGGTTGTTTGCTGGCAATCACCAATGGGCAGGGGAGAAGGGGAAGCAAGGGGCAGTGATCCCCTCCAAGAAGGATGTGGAAGCTATGGGCTTAATCATAACAACACAGTGCCACTTACTTAAATAAAAAAAGCACCAACCCTTTGATTGCAGCCAGAAAGTTTTTTAAAAAAATGTTGCCTGTTTTCCATTTGGTCTATTGGTTAAGGCACCAGACTAGAAAGTTGGAGATCATGAGTTCAAGTTCCGTCTTAGCCATGAAAACCAGTTGGATGATCTTGGGCCAGTCACTCTCTCTCAGCTCACCTCACAGGATTGTTGTGGAGAAAATAGAAAGAGGAAAGTATGTTGGATATATTTGCCACCTTGAGTTATTTGTAAAAATTATAAAGGTGGGATACAAATAAATAAATATTCTCCTAGTTTAGGTCTCCACTTTATCAAAATGTTTTTGTGTCATGGAATCCAGAACTTTGGAGCCTAACCAGTAAGAAGGAAAGACTTCTGAGATAGTGGGGGATTCGTGTGAAACCTCAGGAGGAATGGTAGAGGAGCTGTAATATCTGTGTCTATACATTATTATTTACAGGATATATCAATTTCCTTTCCAATAGCATATCAGGAAAACCAACATTTAATCCATAAGAAGGTAAAGGACAAACTCTTCCAGCAGTTTAAATGTAAAACAGCTGAGCTTCAGGAAGGCATTTTTATTCTGAATCTACATTTTAGCTGTAAGAGATTTGTAAAGCTGTGGTTCATTTGAACATAGAAGTTATCTATGCAGTGTGAAATAAGAAGCAGCAAATCGCTTGTAAACAGAGCTAGCCCATCCCCAGTTCTCTGTAGATTAAGGTGATAGATGGCACTGGGATATGCTTACTGTGTATGTATCTTTTTGTACGTAATATTTAATATTTAGCTTTAATACTGTATTTAATATTTAGCTTCCAACTACATAGCAAACTGTATTGTTCCTAATTTCTAACATGCAATCAAATGTAATATTTTCAGACTGATCGTGCTAATTTAAGTAACCAAAGCCCTAACAAGATCCCAACTGGGAATTCAATTTGCTGCCAGATTTCAACATCAAATTCCAAATGCAAATTTGAATTCAAATTCCAATGTGAATGTTTTCATAATAGTAGTTCACTTCAAGTTTTTCAACATAGGCAATCATTTAGGCTACAGAAATAATAAATGGAGAACTGCAGGCATAGTTTTTATTTATATCAGAAATCAACAACTTTGTTCACCTAGAGTTTTGCAGGGAAGACCAATTATGAAATTTGAACAAGCATTCCTTTTGGTGGATTATGGTGGTTTTGTATGTAGTTTTGTTATCAGGGCATCAACAAGCAGTAAATATAATACCTGTCATTCCACGGAGGCCAGGTAGCCCACGTTGGCCAATGTCTCCTTTGTCCCCTTTTGGCCCTCGTTGTCCTCTTTCACCAGGATACCCTACATTCAAGATGAAAGAAAAAAAACCAAGAACAAATCTCAGACATTTGCAGATTGCTTTTTAAAAAAAAATGCATTCATAATGCTTTACAAAGAATAATAAAAACTAGCAGCCTAGCCTGCATGCCATGTAGCTCTTCTAATTGTGGAATTATTAGACTGCGCTAAATAGGCTTGCTTAGTAATTACAGTGCTCACTAACCATGTCTTTGCTGAGTTGTCGCAGGAAAAATTATAAATATGCTGCTATTTGCTTTGCAGGGCTTGACTGAACATTTCATTTCATGGCTCTCTTGTAAATTTTCACATCCCAGCACACCTGTATTTCCAAAAAATAACACACGTCTACCCAGAACTAGGTCCCATTCAATGCCAAGTAGAGTATGTCCTCCATACTGCTTAACATCAATATGAGACCATTGGAGGCATCATTTGGGACTGGAATCCCCAGGAAATTGAAGATACAATAAAAAGGGGTGAGTGGATTCATTTGCTTGATTGCAGCCCCTATTTTGAAGCCAGTGATTCTGGCTGCAGAGGCCCCTGCCATAGATGAAAAGGTTAGATCAGGAGTTAGAATTAGCAACATTTGGACAAGGAGTAGCTGTATTAAGGATTGGCAAGGCAAAAATGAAACCAAAGAGTTTTTTAAAAAGATATATAAATGGAACCAAGTGCAAGAAAATTAGATGCCCAAAGGAGGAAGGAGCAGAAGAGAAACAGTTTAGCCTAGAGTCATGGCTAGAAGAAAGAAAAAGAGGTAGCTTGACGCAAGCAGCAATCTAAGGAAATAAGGGAATACAATAAGAGATAACTCTGGGTAGCCTTTCTCTTTGTGAAACAAGGGATAAAGAAAGACTACTTATGAGCAATCAACAGATAGAAGGGAGACAGCAAGTTTTTTTTTTTCCTTGTGGCATAGTACTCTGCCCATCTGGGTTCTGCACCCTGTGTGAAGCAATAAGGAAGCTCAGAGGGCATCAGTCAGTCAACAGAAGAGAGTCTTTCATAAAGAGAGGATCCCCAAGAAATTCTACTGAGGAAAGGATCAAAACTGGAAAGTGTCAAAAGGAACAATGAGAAAGAGAGGTACTGATTGAGTCAGGTGGATGGAAGTGGTCCAAACCCCATGTAGGCAGAGGGAAAGTGAGGAAATTGCCACACATTTGCTATACTACATACTTGAGGCAATTTTCATAGGAAGAACGGTGGCATGTTTAATATGCACTGGGCCTCTAGTATGTACTGTGGCGAGGAGATTGTTAGTCAGCAAATGAAAAAGGGTGGTTTGCTAGGCTTACAGCCAACTTCTTTGTGGGGCGAAGAACATAGATCCAACTAGTCCATAGTTTAAAGCTGCAGAGAGGCTGAGGAATTTTTGGAATTTTCCTTATTACCTTCTGGGAGGAGGCTTTGTGGTATCTAAAGCAGAACATCCCGATTCAGCCACAGTTTTGTTCCATGCAGTATTAACCTTGTGAACTCTCAAATTTCCTCTTTCTTTTGAGACCAGGCAACAGAATTTCATTTTTAATGTGGGCCAGTGTGCTCATAGTAAAAAATGACAATAAAGCTTATCTTTTGTCTTGTCTCTTGTCTTGTCTTCATAAAGTAGCTGAGAAATTCTGGGAACTGAAATCCAAACATCTTAAAGTTGCCAAAGTTGGGAAATGCTGCTCTAGAATCTCTTCTAGTTATTGAAGTCTTTTTTTTTTCCCCAAATTTTTTTTATTATTTTCCATCATAAAAAAAACAATCAAAAGCATAATAAACACAATAACAAGTAAAAAACCCCCACCCCACCCCCGGACTTCCCAAACCTAATCCCAGGATAATATTCATATATAAGTAAACAAATACTAATATCCCTAACTCCACAAAGTATCTTAGTCTATAAAAAAGATAGAAAGAATAAACAAAATAGAAAAAAATCTAAAAACCTAGGTTATATTCTACCACTCTATGCTTCTTTTGAATATAAACAATCCATCTTCTCCATATTGATAAAAATT